ATATAAACACAAAATAACAGCGTCATTCCAAGTCTTAAGGCAGCCCTAGTGTGTTCAGTTACAGATGACAATTTTCTGATATTGTTTAACACGAAGGTGGAAACTCAGTAACCATGAATTTAAGTTTGATACAAAGAACTTAAATTTTAGATTATCATATAGGTCAGATACAATATTACTTTTCAGTTTGTTGTAAATCAATAAAAAGCTGTTCTACTTCCGGTAAAATAAAGTTATGTACCTAACATAGCTACAGTCAATTACTGATGAATTCACACAGAAATCATTTGAAGGTCTTTTGAGCCCAATATTATTTGAAGAACAGCTCAATGGCAATATTTGCCTGCCTGTGATTTCTTCCTTTGAAGTATTTAAAATCAATTTATTTTCAAACGATTTTGTAGAGCTTAAAATATAAATTATTAAGCAAACGTAAGCCTTGTTGAGCGAAGCTCACTTTCCCTCACTTTGTAACTTCTTTGTAAGAGCATCAGAATGTAATGGCTTGACCAATTGATATGAAATTTGGCCAACAGCTAAAGAATACTGAGCACAATGTTTTGGTAAAAAATATTTGCTAAAATATTTGTAAAAAAATATTGCTGGATTTTATTTTATGGGTCATGCAATTTCGCTTGTTATTTTAATGTAAGTTGAAAGAAAAATTATATTGGGTTTATGACGTATGGGTTTATCTCGTTGCATTTAAATAAGATAAACATATGTTTATTGTTTGTAACAGTTTTGTTTACACTTTCAATGTTTACTTTCATCCTAGGTTAAAGTTGGAAAGTAACAGTTTATCATTGGAAGTAACAGTTTTGCTATATTTGTTTTGAGCATGCCTCAAAGGGCACGTCGTAATATTGGTGGTCGCACCAATAATGCAAATATTGTAAGAGAGTGGCGTCGTGAACAAGAAGAACCAGATGAAGCAGTGGTGGAAGAAGCTGATAATGATAGGCAGTTAGCTAATCAATTCCAACATGAATTAGATGCACCACAATTTTACACTTGCACTAACTGTCATCGGCAACAACTAACAGCTTCAAACCAATCACCGATTTGTTCGCGTTGTCGTTCAAATGCAACTAAATTCACGGCGTTAAAAATATGGATGTGTCAAGTGTCCTGAACAAATTAACTGACCTGACAATTGTAGAACAAATGTTGATTGCACGAGTACATCCCGCTATGCGCATTTACAAAGTACAAGCAAATGGTTAGGATGGCCAGTTTCACTACAAAGGTAACATCATTATAGTGTTGAGCAAGATATTAATGAAATAGCATCTGTCTTACCTACACTGCCCGAAAACTTTAAAGTCATCATTGTCCAACGTCAAGGCGTCTTTGGCCATATCGATTTCAAAGTTCAACGTGAAAAACTACAGAAAGCACTTATTTGGCTGAAGGCAAATAACCCATTCTATTTTGACATAACCATTAGTGATGAAGCGCTACACCAACTACCAGTCAATGATTTTGTTCACATGAGAGTACCGTGTGTACGTGAAAACCAAGAAAGTCCTGATGAAATCGAAGAAGACCAAATTTGTCATTCTTTAGAACCTAAATAATATCGGACAAACAAACGGTGAATCTGTTGAAAGGGAACATATTGTAGGTTGTTAGCTGCTTTAGCCATTGGCAATCTTTAAATAATGCTTCGCTCATTTATGCGTCTAAAGTGTAACGGCAGACCACTCTAGTTGTATATTGTACAGTTAATGGTTTTTAGTAAAAATTCCTATTAATAAACAATGAAAAAAATATGGATATGGAGAAAAAGTAAACTGTGTTTGTTTGCTTGTTCATCACAATTTCTGTTTTTTCAAAGTTGTCTAATATTTGTCTGTTTTATATTCCCAGTAGCAGTAATAGCCAAGTCCATATATAAAGCTAGAATGGATTTGAACATATGAGAAAACCATAAACCGCACACCTATCAATCTTATACTTAAATGAAAAGTCTTGCTGTAAAACTTCCCTGAAAAATATAAGTTTTTTGATAAACGCTCTAGGAACATCAATTAAAGGACTGTATTTAATTACATTTAAAACATTGAAGATACACCAGATGTTCGATTTGTTTTATTTTGTTTGTTATTTGTTTACTGAGTCAACCTTTTGATTTTAGGTACCATAGATTTCTATATTGCATCAAGAGTAGATTATTTTTCCTAGTGACTTGGACAATGATAAAATTTATTTTCATAAAGAACTAGCAGTTACCCAGCGCGCGTTGCTGCGCTAACAAAATACATCTGTCTGTGTGAAAAGCATGTTTTTTCTTCATTTAAACCGACGATAGTCAGGGATTGCTCTAGTGCCTTATAATGGTGATTGCAAAAGCAAGACACTAAGGAAATTGTAGTTGCTTAAATTCAGAGGGTAATTCGGATGAAATCATCAGTATTCTTATGATTAATACGATTTCTCCCTTAAACCTACCACACTGATAATTTTTGCTTTAATCAATTTTGACATCATTTTAGCGAATTTCCTATATAGGCTAGGCATATTAGGAATATAAGTGGCAGTTAGCGGAAAGTTTAGGTACAGTCCTAATCACCATTGTTCTTTATGTTTTTTGGGTCGCTGAACACGAATATGAGGTTTGCTGACAGATATTATGCCCGGAACATTGTTTTTTTTATGAAAAAAGTCAAAATTCGGGTATTTTTTTAGGTTTTTGGGCTAAATCTTGGTGTAAAAGGGTTTTCTGAAAATACCCGGGTTTGTAAAATTAAAGAGCATAAAATTTACTACAAGTTTCATGTGTAACACTCGTTTCTCCGACAAACCGTTACGTCACTAGAGCACACTAAAAATAGGTAAAAATACAAAAAATGTGGACATAGGCATGGCTTGGCAGATCAGTTGTAGATTTAAAAGATTTTATTTAAAATTCAAACCTATGGAGAATGAATTAAATTTTCAGCAAGCAGATATTTTGTGACAATTACTCCTCCGAAACTACTGAACCGATTGTCATGTTTTTGGTGTCATTGGAAAGAGCGTAACGCGAAGTTGTGCAGGAAACTTTCTTTTTACGGAAATAATGAGAGAGTGAGGCCCTGGGGCCCTTTAAAGTTTCACATTTCTCCATAAGGATAACATGGCTGACATGTAACAACCACTCTTCAATCATTCTCCCAAAAACGGCTGCACTGCTACTCTCTGCCTCAATGATATTATTTGGAAGATTTCGGTACAATTGATGTGCAATATAAAATGGATTAGAAAGTTCTATTCTGTAACCTAATCTGGGTATTGTGTATCCAAAGTTTAATCAGTTTCATATTATATATGTGTGAGTTGGCTGTGTGAAAATGTTGTGTTTGTTGACTTAAATGTAGATTAGAAGGGTTTTAATAAATATTTGTCTAATATTGAGTACAGGAAAATCGTGGAATAGCAGATCAGTAGAATATCTTTGTCCTTTTCTTCAGAATGGTTTTTATTATAGAGCGCTGTGTCACCCCCAGTGGTTCCAGCACGGTGGAGGAGGCACCACCCCATGCCAGAACCCCGTATTGCATAACAGATTGCACATAGGCGAGGTAAACACTCCTGCAGCGATCCGGAGTGAGCACACGAGCACAATCTCATCCCATGTGCTTCCGTGTCAGACCAAAGCCGTGTCGTCAGCAAATAGAAATAAGCTTCCATTTATATTTAATTTGGATATGTTTTATTAACGTATACCAGAAAAATCAGAGGTCCAAGTGTACTTCCTTGAACCACGCCATAGTCGGGTCACAATTTATGCCCTTAATGCAAACATATTATTTACGATTTTTGAAATAGGAAGAAAACCAATTTAGTGTGTTTTGCCCCTATTAATTTAAGTTTTTGTAATAATTTGGATCTATTTACAGAATCAAATGTTTGCTAAGTCTAGGAAAGTTAAAATGATTTTATTTTTTCCATTGATTTTCTCATTTACTAATTTGGTTAACCCTTTCAGTGCTATGAAACGATATATCGTTGTTTTAAAAAAACCCTAAGGGATATAGAGAGGAAGGTTATTTAAAAAAAAATAGCAAAACGGCCATTGGTGACCTGCATGTTCATAGGATACACTACCAACCACTTAGCTAAAAGATTCGCCCAATCCGATGATTTCGAGGTGTATGTCTAAACCAAGGATTATGAACACCTCACTATGCCCCAGTGGTTGTAGTATATCGCTACAAACACACAGGTCACCAATTATTTGCCACACAGGACGGGATTCGAACCCGAGCAGACGAATGCCACTGGCCAAGTGACACACGCCCTAGCCTTCTCGGCTATCTGTGCTTGAAGACTGGGGAGTCAAAACCCGGTATTTAAGCTGTCGCCACCGATTGCGAACAGATGGCGCTGCAGATGGTTGTTCAATGCGTTACTAGGTAGCAGCACCAGCTAGTCACGGACTATTTAGATGCAATGTTTTAGTTTTAGTAGTAGTAAATGTGTTCCTGAGACTTTGCTGCAAAACATTAGTTTCCCTAAAATTGCTATATTACAATAACCTCGTCCAACTAAATCAGGGTTAAATTCAATATTACATTGTAAACTATAAGTCTTTTGATTTTGTGAGATTTCGGTTTCAAATAATGCTATCAGAACATAAAAATTTATAGGAAAACCAGGAAAATTACAACAAAAACTAAGTTTTATTTGATGTTTACTACAAATACCGGGATTTATCTTTCTTATATATTTTCTTATTGTGTTATTATTCAAAATTAGCCTAATTAATAAAATAGTGACAACATGACAGTAAAAATTCAACAACGGGTAATGGAATTAAAAGGCAAACAAAAAGGTCTTACAAAATATGAATTATTGGCCTAGCACTGAAAGGGTTAAATCAAATAAAACACCAGAATTTTGAATCTTTAGCAGGAAGTGGATTCATAGAAAACAAACTGAACTTGGTAAAATACAAATTTATTGACATATAATAAAAACATTTCAAAAATCCAATGTGTATATTGACTTATTTTTAATGAGAACTCATAAAAACCAAAAATACATAAATTATTGATCGTGTCAAAAAAAAAATTTGAAAAAGCTTGTTTTAGCAGGGCTTGAACCTACCAAAAAATATAGATTATTGATGGTTGTTATTAGGTGGACCTAAAATATTCAGTTAAGTGTTAAGAATTAGTTTAAAATATGCAGGTTTTAAAACCAAACTTGACGATGAAGTATACAAAAATGTTTCTAATCTAGTTCAAATATTTAAAATAGCAATCTTCTTCCTAAAAAAATAAAAGTAAAGGTTTACATTTAATTATTTTGTGAGTTAACTCATACTTTATTAGTTTAAAGATAAAACTCCATTTTGATTACGATTCTAACTTTTACACCCTTGAATCGTTTAGTTAAAATAAGCAGAAGATGAATGTAACCTAAATAATTAAACTTACACGACATTGTATAATATAGCTAAATGTTTTTTACAGAAATAATTTGATCTAAAGAAATGAGAAAAAAATAAGTAAGAAAGGTTTCTCTCTGCCGTTTACTAGGTTTACGCTGATTGAACATTTCAAGTGTGTTTGCTTCCACAGTAATTGTTCGACCGTCACAGTAGAACGTACAATTACTTTACATACAATGTTTAGCAGATAAAAATGCATCTGAATTATCTTATAAGATTTCAAGATTTTGAGAAATGACTACTCTAGTCCAGCTCAATCGCTAGTTTGGCCTGCCTGAAGGAATCATCATGGGATTATAATGTAAAAATCTAATGACGTAACTGACCTTCATTAAAAACACTCATCTGAGTAAAAGTAAGATTTTATCTATATAGATTGCATTTAAAATTATTCAAGCGAACAGTTGATGTAAGGGATGTTACATTACAATCAATGAGTTGACATATGAGTGTTCAATTGGGTTTTGCTAGCAAAAGTCTTCTCACAGACAATACACTTGTGATTCCTGGCGATTCCATGGACAGCCATGTGTTGTTTGACATGTGTTCTTAGTTTGAATGTCTTTCCACAAATGTTACACTCATGAGGTCTGTTATCTCTGTGTGTATGCTCATGCTGCTGTAAATTACACTCTCTTTTAAATGCTTTGCCACAAGTGTGACAGACGTACGGTTTATCATCAGAATGTGTCAAGAAATGTAATTTCAATTTATCTTTTCTTTTGAACATTTTCCCACATATTTCACAACCATGATTTGTACCTGAGTGATGCATTCTAAGATGTTGCATCAAAGTATCTTTAACAGTAAAAATTCTGCCACAATTTGCACATTTATATTGCTCTTGAGGCAAATGGTGTTTTTTGATGTGCTGCGCTAAATTCTCTTTACACACAAAATCACTGTTACATTCTCCACATTGGTATTCCTTTGTATCCACATGCATTCGAGAAGTATGTCGTGTGAGATTTCTTTTCCGAGCAAATGACCTATTACAAAGTTTACATGTAAAAGAGAGATTTTTGTTCAATTGATAATGCACTTCACGAATGTGTTTGTTGACGGAACTTTTCTGGGAAAAACCTTTGTTACATATTTTACAAATCTCTTTTTTTAAACATCCCAAATGTATGCGTGAAATATGAGACTTCAATGCAGAGTAACTGCAAAATGATTTGGCACAAGTTGTACACTGGCACTTATTAATATTGGCATGTTTATTAAGATGATGTTTTCTCAATATCCTTTTGTTTTTGTATCTGCAGTCACAGAGTGAACATTTATAATATCGTAGGGAACCTCTATTATCTTTTACGCCATTTGGCATGACATAAGTTCCAAAGTCACTTTTACACTGAATACACTCACACAGAACACCATTCAACTGAGCTGTGCACTTTCCTTCTTTAACTAGTATCTGAAACACACAAAACTGACTTTCAGTCTGATAATCTAACAGTTTGGAGTACCTTTGTTCAATTTTAGTAAATATTTTGTGTAAATTTATTCAAGATGATTTTTCTATACATAAAATATATATGAAATGAAATGAAATGAAATGAGTAAGTGCTTTATTAAACGATAAGGTAATATGTACATCCAAAAACATAACACTTTTAAACAATGGTTGATAACAACCGTCTGTTTGGTTGACACAATCTTTGCCTTCTAAAATGAATATGAGTCTTTAAACAACATTTAGCACAAAAGAAATGAACATTTTTATACAATAAATAAAATAATAATAAAACACAATTAGAGTACTCAATAGATAACAAAACATAATACAGAATTAAGGGTAATCAGATAAAAATAAACGAGTTTCAAGGTTTTTTGTTTTTGTTTATTTACCTAAAATTTAGAAATTAAACTCGCTTATAAGCTCCCATCTATACTTCCAAGCTTCTCTAAGGTATTTTGTGAAGATACGCCAATCCTTCCCGTTTAGCTATTGATAATATTCTACTTCACTCAAAGTGTTGCTTCCTAACCAAGACCTTCTAATATTACCCAAAATTGAACAGACGGCAATGAAGTGAAAGGTAGTTTCGTACTCTTCAAGATTGCATAATGAGCAAATAAAATTTTGTTCGGTCCAGGGTTTATAATTTAAATTTACCAGCTCTGCCCTAGCTTTAATCGCCCAAGAAATTAGTTCAACCTCGCTGAAGGCAAGGGGACTCTTATCTCCTAGTTCAAGGTCGACTCGCAATAGCTGTTTGTGATAAACAGATGTCCTAGCTCCTACACATTCATCCTTCCATTTGATTTTAATTGCTTCTGCCAGCGATCCTAACTGTATCGCCAATACGCTGACATCCTGAGTTTTAAATTTTATTTCTAAGCCATGAGTTTTCCCAACGGTTTCCCAATATCTGCACCAAAATATATGTTTTTCAATAACCTGTTTTGCTAATATTCTAGGCAATCTACTATTAGGCAAAGATAACACTCTAACTATATAGCTTAGAGATATATAGTTCTTATAGCCACTTGTCCATGATCACCTGTACGTGAAGGGCACGCGTTTTACCTGGGAAGACAACACACTGAAAGCTGGACGAGTTGAAGGAGCCCGAGAACTGATGAAACTATTCCGACATGACTTCTCGGACTTCCTCACCAAACTGTCTCGACGGGGCACGGAGAAGGACGACGACGAAGAGGAGCCACAACGGATGACGTCTCAAACATATGCGGAGGCTGCAGCCATGGACACGGGCGCGGGACCTAGAGAGACATTGCCGGGGGCACCTGAGGCGGCGCAGACCACGACTCCTCAGCAGGTCGTCGTGTGAGGGGACTACGCCAAACCTTCTGAGAATCAACAGTAGGACGGAGACAGCGCTGTGCAAGTAATGGGACATGGTATAGGAACCTTTAAGGTACTTTCATATGATATATGTGGGCTGAAAAATAGAATTATTGATGACAGTTTAGTTGATTTTTTTTGTAAATATGATTTATTTTTCCTAACAGAAACATTTTTAGTTAAATCAGACGAATTTTTTATTAGAGACAAATTAAAATGTTTTAAGTTATGTATTAAATTTGCTGAAAGGATAGGTAATGTTGGCAGATATAGCGGAGGTGATATTATTGGGTTAAACTTGAATTCACCTTTCCAGAAAAATTTTACTTTTGTTAATGAACATGAACTAAGTTATGTAAAGGCGAGTTTCAATGGTGTTCAAAAATCCCTAAATTTCATACCTTTATATTTGAATTACAATAAGTGGGAACAGAGTTTTAGTGATATTGTTGAATATTTAAATAGTAATGAAATTGGGAATTTAATATTTTTTTGAGATCTGAATGGACGAATAGGTGATGAACAGGGTTTTGAAAATGGTGAAATAAAAAATGTAAATAGTTATTTAGATAGTGGTAGGAAGTCAAAAGACAAAACCATAAACAGAAGGGGGAATAAGCTATTAGAATTGTTTGACAATAGAGGATTAATCGTTCTAAATGGAAGGTCAGCTAGTGATAAGGAGGGTGAGTTTACTTTTATAGGGGCGATGGGCTCGTCTGTTATAGATTTGGCAACTGTGTCATTGGATCCTTGCATTTAGTGAAGGACTTTAGAGTAGTGCCATATCCAGGGTCCGATCACCTACCGATCAAAATTATTCTGTCAGTTGATGAAATAAATAGTAACATAGGGGAGAGGAGAGAGGTTAATACGTCAACTTTGTTACCACAATTAAAGTGGTCGGATGAGGACCAATCGAAATACAAAAGTCGGTTATTACTTAATTTGACCAACGTTCAGATAGGAAATGATAATCAGGATAATATAGACAATTTGACCAAGTGCATTGTTAGATCGGCAAAACATAAAACTCTAACAGCGGTAAAAAACAGGTTTGTAAACAAGCAAAAGTGGTTTGATTTTGAGTGTTTAGCCGAGAGGAAAAAGATGTTTAGATTGCTTAGTCTTTTTAGAAAAACTGATTCGAACTTGGTTAAAAGTAACTATCTTACTCAAGTAAATATACATACAAAAAATTGTGTAAGTTAAAAAAGAAGTTATATAACGACAAAATTATTTTAGATTTGAACAATTATAATACAGATAGTAAATGTGTAAGCTGACTGAATCAGCGCCTCTGCAGCCGCCCACCCGATACGCGCGAGCCACTCGCCAATCCTGCGTTTGTACACAGCAACACTGTGGGCGGCTGCAGAGGCGCTGATTCAGTCAGCTTACACAGCATAATTATTTTCCATCAACTGAAAAAGATGTTTTCGCCACGGCTGATGCAGAATTCAACCATGTTTTTGTTACCGTTTTCAGTAACTTCTAGTTTAGTAGGATCCATTTTATTATTTTTTTGAATGTATTACTATAGACTCTCGTATTTGTTTAAATCAAATTAGGTTTTTCTTTTCTAATATTCAATGTATAAAGGTGTTTGTCTTTTTAATTTCTAGTAAATGTAGGTAATAGCATCGAACAAATGTTAAATACTTTGTATATTGCCTAACAATGGTTTACAAGAACTCTTCCCCCGATCACAGATCAACAGTCTATCCGGGGGAATAATTCCATGTAATATATTGTTCTATTATTGTACTGCTTAATTTTTGGAATAAAAGTATTTTGATTTGATTTGAAAGCTATGTGGCAAGCAATTTTACATTTTAAGAGAAAGTGCAGTAACGCAGTAGGAAATATAACGACGAACAAATGGATAGAGCATTTTAGCGCCTTGCTTAACCCCCCGCTTGTGGCAGGTGAGATGAGCTATGCAGAACCTTTCATAGATAACGACCGATTAGACAGCGATTTCACCTGGGTAGAGATAAAGAATGTATTGGCCGTGGTCAAGGCAGATAAGGCCCCAGGAGTTGATAGAATTCCTTACGAGTTTTACAAAAACGCACCTGATCATTTTCTAAACACATTATTATCAGTCTATAATAACATTTCCAAAAGCAATAAAATCCCTAAAAGTTTTAAGGAGTCCATAATTTATCCATTACACAAAAAAGGCAATATAGATTTAGTGGAGAACTACAGAGGTTTATCTTTTATAAATTGTGTAGCTAAATTATTTACCAGTATGTTAACAAATCGATTACAAAATTGGATCAATGATAACAATATTCTAACAGAGTTTCAAGCAGGTTTTCGGAAGGGTTACTCGACAATTAATAATATATTTAACGTAAGTTGTATGGTCAAGCTAAGGCTTGCGCAGAAACAGGGTAAACTTTACTGTTTTTTTGTTGATTTTAGTTCTGCGTTTGATACAATTGACCGCAAGGCATTGTTCTACAAACTGTCAACGCTTGGAGTATCTACACGCGTGATTAATAATATTAGGAGTTACTATGACGAGACTTTTGCTAGTGTGTGGTGCAAGGAGGGAGTTACAAACAGTTTTATTACAAGGACAGGTCTGAGGCAAGGATGTAATCTCTCACCTAATCTCGCAATGTTACCTGTGTACCCAACTAAAACGGTTTCCTTAGGCAATTCAGACCTAAGGAGGCTTTCATAGGCAATGTTCCAGAGCTCCGGGCCGAGTATATGGAACCTTGGGCAGCACCAGAAGTGACAATCATCGTCTGCGGGCCTTCTGTAGTATCATACATGAGGTGACGGAACCTGAGGTAATCCGCTATAATGCGCATGAGGTATACTGGGACGTGGAAGGTGTTCTCCAGAGCTTCCAGCATATCGCACCACCTCGCAGAATTAAATGTGTTTCCCGTTTCCCACATCGAGTGTAACGAGCAGCACAACCTTACAAGAGCAGTGATCACGGATAGTAGAACGGATAACGCTATGGATAATAAACATAGGCAAATTACGTTGCTATTTTAGCGAAATATATTAGCGAATTTCCCCTATAGGGAATATTGGCGAATTTTCCCTATAGGGAATATTAGCGAATTTCCTCTATAGGTAATATTAGCGAATTTCCCCTATAGGGAATAAGCTATTACCGTAGTACTCATGGTAAGACCTGGACCCAGGACCAATTTATTTTTCGTTTTGAGGTTCCTAGAGACCAAAAACACCGTCCGTTCAAATTCATATCCGATTTTGATCTACTTATTCTAAATCAGGGCGGTATAGTTCTAGCTAATTATAACCTAGAAATCAACCCTTTACAGTTTCGGATTCTACCATTATGGCTACTAATAACTGCATAAGAGAGCTTTATGTGATGGTGAGTATTTAAGTGCAACCACGAAATATATTATCATTACAAAAGTTATATCAACATTCACATTTGCATTGATTCAAGCGTTTAAACCATAATCCATGTGTTGCACGTTAATAATTTGTATAATCAATCGGAAGGTGATCGAAGACGACGATTAAGCCGTCGAGTTTTGGCTAAAATTGTTTTGCTTCCTAGTGGTCCTTGTTGATCTTGAACTATTTGCTACGTATCGGAATTTCAAACACATCATGTAATTCACAATTAGTCAAGGAAACCAGCGTATGGATGATATGTAAATTTTGTTAACGTGCATAATTTTCATTCATTTAAACTAATTTATTATTTTTTATGAAAGCTTAATTTAAAATTCAGTTTTCTGAAGTAAGCCAATCACATTTAAAATATCAAATAAGACACTATTATTTACAAAGCTGTATGTATTACCATATAAACACATCAACTTTGTTTGCATTAAAAACGTGGTTCTGTTCTTAAAAATCCCACAAGATTCATATACTACCTAGAGGGCCCATGCTGCTCGGCAGCGTTGAGATAAATATCATATTCGAGAAATAATTAAATTTATGATTTTAGATTGAATAATACAGTATCTTGAGCATAATTAAATCATTCGATCAATAGCTCAAATTAAAGCCTATGATTTATTGATTATTTTAAGTCTAAAACATATAAAAAACATCAACAATACTGAAGCTATTGATTTTTAATCATAGAAAACCCTTATAAAATATAATTCTCATGTTGATTGTTCACCTTGCGTTTGCTTGAAACTCGTGCAATTTGATTAAGTAATAGCTTAAATGAAAGCCTGCATTTTACTAAAGGTTCTTAGACCAAAATTTATAGGATTTTATAATTATAACTGGTGAAATACATCTTAAATTGAAGTAAGAATACAAAAATAAATCATCATTTTGGTCGAGTAATACAGTAATTAAATATTAGCCGATACTTGATGTGGAATCTTTGCATGCATACCTTCATTTTGAGACCTCAATCATGAAAATCGGTTGGGTAGAAGAGCCAAACGAACTCGGAAAAGAAAAACCAATTTAACTCCCATAAAAAAGGAGAGCAAATTTCGGTTACGTACGTATTAGGTGAGTGGGACTGTAGATAAATATATGCCGATGCTTGATGGGAAATCTGTGCGTGCTTCAATTTAATACCTCAATCATGAAAATCGGTCGGGTAGAAGAGCCAAACGATCTCGGAAAAGAAAAACCAAATTTAACTCCTATAAGAAATATACTAATTCACAAACCAATTCATCGCTAATTTATGGGTTGATAAAAATATTACATAAGGTTTCCCCAAGTAAGCCTAGAAAAAGCCTTCAAACACAACTTCAACTGTTAATTTAGTTGGATGGGCTCAAAGCAAACATGTTTGTTATATTATTTAAAATGGAACTTTCAATAAACGTCCAAACAGGATGTTAAGACTATTAGTATGCGATTCAGGTTAGTGTCGTCATTTGATTATATTATTTATGATCTATACCGTTTCTGTTCTAATATCCGTGTAGTAATGCTATCAGCTATTTCTTGATCTACGTCATTCAAAATCTACCAGCTGATCTTATGCCTTTTTTTATGTGTCAAATACTGCTTCCATAAGGATTACATTGAAACTTTGAGGGCCCGTGGGGCGGATTCCTAAGAGATTTTTTTAACGTCATATAGATGTTGGCACTCACCGATAGGGTCTTTAACACCATGCAAAATTTGAAAACTATTGCTTTAGGCGTCTAGGAGGAGTTTACGTATTACGAAATGCATAAGAGTCGACTTACAATGAGGGGCAAATCTAATATTTTAAAGGAGATATTTGAGTGAAAATCGATTCAGTGAGGCACACGGTAATTTGATTTGTCTTCTGGTTTGCTGGAGCTGGGGTATTATAACTATTGTCTTGTAATTTTCTCCTTTTTGATCCTTTAGCAGGAAGTGAATTCATAGAAAACGAACAGAACTTGGTAAAATTCAAATTTATTAAAACAATATAAAAAAAACTTTAAATAAAAACCCAATGTGTATATTGACTTAATTTGAGAACTCATAAACACCTAAAATACATAAATTATTGATCAGGTCAAACAAATATTTTAAAAAAGCTCAGCTCAGCAGGGCGGTTTCTGTCTGCTGATTGTGCATTTCAAGTAAAGATGTGTTTGCCTCCACTGTAATTGTTAAGCCATCACAGTGAAACGACTATAACAAAAAAGTAAGGGTAAACCCAAATCTTGCAATAAAAGTAACTATAAAAAAAATTATCAAAAATTTGCAAAATATCACAAATTATTCATGAAATTAAAAACATAAACATAACTATAACAATCGTACTTTGACAGTAAGTTCTCATTGCTTATCACATTTTTTGTTGCCGCTGCAAATAATCTGTTTTCATAAATGCAAACAAATATAGTGCTGCACCCTGTTGGTAAACCTTATAACTTTTTAATGCTTTTCCCTATCATAGAACCAACTTTTTTTAGTTGAAACAGCTGACTAAATTCTTTAATCCTATACTCTAATACGAGCAATGTTTGCTTGTATGCTTGCTTGCTTGCTTGCTTGCTTGCAGAAATATCTCGAAAACGGCTCCGACGATTTTCTTCAAATGTTGTAAATAGCTTATTTCTGGTCTAAAAACGAGTTTACTGCAGTTAGAACTGCCAACAAAAATCTAATTACGTAGAAAAATGAAACTGAAAATTACATTTTTTTAACATTAGTCTTATGGGTTGCTAAGTAACCATGTTGGTTGAATTAAATAACAAGGAAAAAGTAAACAAACGACTTGAAGTTGAAGCATGTGTTCATTATAAGGCAACTACCCACAGTATACTAGCAAATTACAAATACAGTACAAAAGGGAAATCATCACTTGTTACTATTGAGCAAAGATTATACTGAAGATTGCTCGATACATTGTAGGCCTAGTAAAGGCAAGCAGTACGAAATGCGGGATCTGTTTATGACGATAAGATTAAGGTTATCTGCAATCCTAAAATGCTATAGGAAGCGAAGGAAACAGGTCTGCGACGTAGGAAGTGGTGAAGGAAGTAGTCAAGGAAAGTTGTGCGGAGTGTTGGATCTGTTTATGACAATTAATTTAAGGTACTTGCAATCATAAAATGCTATGAGAAGGGAGGGAAACAGGTCCGTGACGTAGGAAGTGATGAAGGAAGTAGTAAAGACGAGCAGTCCAGAGTGTGGGAACTGTTTATGACGATTAGATTAGGGTATCTGCAAACCTAAAATGCTATTGGAAGGGAGGGAAACAGGTCCGCGACGTAGGAAGTGATGATGGAAGTAGTAAAGGTAAGCTGTCCGGAGTGTGGGAACTGTTTTTTACGATAACATTAGGGTATCTGCAATCCTAAAATTCTACGGGAAGGGAGGGAAACAGGTCCACGACGTAGGAAGTGGTGAAGGAAGTAGTCAAGGCGAGTAGTCCGGAGTGTGGGAACCGTTTGTGACGATTAAATAAGGGTATTGGCAATCCTAAAATGCTATGGGAAGGGAGGGAAACAGGTCCGTGACGTAGGAAGTGGTAAAGGAAGTAGTCAAGGCGAGCTGTCTGGAATGTGGGAACTGTTTATGACAATTAGATTAAGGTACTTGCAATCATAAAATGCTATGGAAAGGAAGGGGAACAGGTCCGTGACGTAGGAAGTGATGAAGGAAGTAGTAAAGGCGAGAGGTCCAGAGTGTGGGAACTGTTTATGACGATAAGATTAGGGTATCTGCAAACCTAAAATGCTATTGGAAGGGAGGGAAACAGGTCCGCGACGTAGGAAGTGGTAAAGGAAGTAGTCAAGGCGAGCTGTCTGGAGTGTGGGAACTGTTTATGGTGATTAGATTAAGGTATTTGCAATCATATAATGCTATGGGAAGGGAGGGAAACAGGTCCGTGACGTAGGAAGTGATGATGGAAGTAGTAAATGCAAGCTGTCCGGAGTGTGGGAACTGTTTATGACGATTAGATTAAGGTATCTGCAATCTTTAAATGCAATGGGAAGGGAGGAACAGCTCCGCTTCGTAGGAAGTGGTGAAGGAAGTAATAAGGCTAGCAGTGCAGAGTGTGGGAACTGTCTGTGGCAATTACATTAATGTATCTGCAATCCTAACATGCAATGGGAAGAGAGAGAAAAACAGGTCCACGACGTAGGGAGTGCTGAAGGAATAAGTAAAGGCGAGCAGTGTGGAGTTTTGGGAATGGATTTATGTATCTGCAATACTGTGACTGTTTTCAGAGTAAACTAATGATTTTCCCCGAGCAAAGCTCGGTCCCCAGGTATTCCACTTTAAATATAAATACTCATCAGGTTAACATGGGGACTACAGAGCCACTGGGGCGGATCCCGAAAAAGGTTTTGAGATAAGAATATGCCTATATGTTCATTGGGAATGTGAGCTATCATCATGCCAAATTTCAACCCAATCCGTCCAGTAGTTAATTTGTGATTGAACTTCAAACAAACAAACAAACACACAAACATTCACATTTATAATATTAGTAAGATCCATAAACACAAAAAAATATATTATTTAAGAAAAAAGCTATGGAAGGGGATGTTACATTACAATCCATGAGTTGACAGATGAGTGTTCAGTTGAGTTTTCCTGGCAAAAGTCTTCTCACAGACAACACACTTGTGATTCCTGATGATTCCATGGACAGCCATGTGTTGTTTGACGTGGGTTCTTAGTTTGAATGTCTTTCCACAAATATTGCACTCATTAGGTCTGTTATCTCTGTGTGTATGCTCATGCTGCTGTAAATTATGTTCCCTTTTAAATGCTTTGCCACAAGTATGACAAAAGTACGGTTTATCATCAGAATGTGTCAAGGAATGGAATCTTAATGTTTGTTTTGTTTTGAGCATTTTCCCACATATTTCACAGCTGTGAACCGTACCTAAGTGATCATTTCTAAGATGTTCCAACAAAGTATCTTTAACAGTAAATATTCTACCACAATTTGCACATTTATATTTCTCTTGAGGCAAATGGTGTTTTTTGATGTGCTGCGCTAAACTCTCTTTACACACAAAATCACTGTTACATTCTCCACATTGGTATTCCTTTGTATCCACATGCATTCGAGAAGTATGTCGTGTGAGATTCATTTTCCGAGCAAATGACCTATTACAAAGTTTACATGTAAAAGAGAGATTTTTCTTCAATTGATAATGTGTTTCACGAATATGCCTGTTGAGCACCGAAGTCTGAGTAAAACCTTTGTTACATATTTTACAAATCTCTTTTTTTGAACATCCCAAATGTATGTGTGAAATATGAGACTTCAATGCAGTGTAATTGCAAAATGATTTGGCACAAGTTGTACACTGGTACTTATTGGTATTAGCATGTGTAGTTCGATGATGTTTTCTCAAATGCCTTTTGTCTATGTATCTGCGGTCACAGAGAGCACATTTAAAATATTCTTTTAGGGAACCTCCATTATCTTTTACAGTATTTGGCATGACAAACGTTCCAAAGTCACTTTTACACTGAATACACTCACAAAGAACACCATTCAACTGAGCTGTACACTTTCCTTCTTTAATTTGCACCTGAAACATACAAAACTGACCTTCAGACTGGTAATCTAAGCGTTGAGAGAATCCTCTATACGATTTTAGTACTGTAAATATTTTGTTTTAATGTGTTTTCAGTCAGGATACGGTAATTAATTATAATTACAAAAGTTGAACATAGAATACTACATGGTGAGGCAATAAGAGAATCACAATTTTGTTTTGCATTATCATTTTTGGTTTGGAATGAGAAATATTGCAACAATAAAAGTAGACTGTGTTTTAACCCCTATTAACTATGACATTAAATTATTATAAATACAGTGCTATTATAAGTCTTAACACTAATACTGAAACCCTACTCCGGCCGACGTTAACCGAAACCCCCGGTCTGTGAGACCCCATTTGAAAAATAATGGACCCCGCTTAGAAACACACAAACCAAAACCCTCGGCCTGTGAGACCCCGCTTTAAAATACACTAACTAACGCAGGGCTTCTGAGACGGACATTTTGTGAACAGACAACCTGTCAAGGTCACGGCACCCATGCAAAATGAACAAACAATATATCAACAGGTAGGGGAGGAAAAGGGGGTAAGGTATTGGGGGAATGGAATCTCCCAAGTAAACAGTGTTGCCAACATGCGTTTTCGAAAATTCCCGTGGGCCTGTCAGACCGAGGTTTGGGTATCAGTGTTAAGGCAGCCCTTGTGTGTTCAGTTACAGCTGACAATTTTCTGATTTTGTTTAACACAAAAGTTGAAACACAGTAACTGTGAATTTAAGTTTGATACAACGAACTGAAAACTGTAGGTTATCAGAAAGGTTTGAAACAATATTACAGTTAATTATCGACGAATGACCTTTGAAATTTTCTGTGGGAAATTTTCTGTTTGCTTGTACATCAAAATTTTTTTTATTCAATGTTGTCTAATATTTGTATTGCTACAAGTATTCTTTTTTATATTCGCAGTAGCAGTAATAACCAAGTGCTCATCCATATATAAAGCTAGGATGGATTTGAACTTTTGAGAAAACCATAAGACGCACACCTATCAATCGCATACTAAAATTAACGGTTTTGCTGTGTAACTTCTCTGATAAATATCAGGTTTTCAATAAGCCCTTTCCTAAGGGCAGGACCATCAATTAAAGGACTGTATATAATTAGATGTAAAACATTAAATATATACAAGCTGTGGATTTGTTTGTTAATTTTCCTTGAGTTAACCTTTTGATTTTAGGCTTTTAGGTACCATAGATTTCTATACTGCATCAAGAGTAGATTATAATTTCTAGTGACTTGGACAATGAAAAAAATTATTTTCATAAAGAATAAGTGCTTAATCAACCAGCAGTTTGCATAGACGAGGCAGGGGCAGAACAACTAGTTAAAACTGATGGTAATCAAACGATGAGTAAATCTAATATTTTAGCGAATTTCCCATATAGGGAATAAGCTATTACCGTAGTACGCATGGTAAGACCTGGACGCGGGACCGATTTTTTTTTCGTTTTGAGGTCCCTAGAGGCCAATATATATATCTACAAAACATATATAATTCTGTAAGACAAAATTTTTACCAGAAAATTGTGGACGTCTGGTTAGTCGCAGAAAAGTGGGAAGGGTCTTAAATTAAGGGTCTTGACCCCAGGGACTCGGGAAAAATAGCAGAATTCCCATTAAGTTACCAGAAAACGAGATATAACGTAAAATATCCACCATAAGAAATGCATGGGGACTGATAAACGTCTGCATTCTATCAGCTGTTACTTATTTATTTGCAATGTTTACATTTATTCCGAAAGTCAATGTTGGTAAATAAAATGAATTGTGTTTAATTTTTTTGTTTTCCGTTTTTATAATGAGTAAAGTAACTAGACAGGGTAGGGGAAGACCTGCAAGACGTGGAAGAGTATCCAGGAATTCAACAGACTTAAGAGATGCAAACGAGAACGTCATGTAGAACTAACTGTGAATGAAATCCAGAAGCTGTTTTACCACCTATCTTTAGAAGAACGCTGGAAAATGAGTTGAGTGTTGTTTCTTACAATCTAAGTCCTCTTAAAGCACCTGCACTTACATTGTGGCGCATGTCACTTCGCAGAGGAGGCCACAAATGGATATTTCAACGCATGTTGCCACAATGGACATGTCACGACCACAAGTAAATGACGAACTAAAAGAACTGTTTTTACATGATTCGAACTTCATACAGTGCAATGGCTTTTGCGTCGCTTTCCGCTACACAAAAAGAGATTCTGGGAAATGGGCCTTACTGTCTTAAAATTGAGGGACAAATTCATATATATATTTCCGACCTACTACCGCGAAATGGGGAGTTGCCTTCATAATAATTAATAATAATTTTAACCTTTACATTTTGTTCTCAAAATGGAAACTATAAGGGAATTCGTAAGATTACAAAAATCAAATCTTCAATTTTAAACTAGAAAAGATGTGCAATGTTTGGCTGTATCATAGATTAAACATACGAGGAGTATGTTTAATCTATGGCTGTATGATTTCAGCTCTGATTCGTCATTCTCTGAGCTCAGGCCAATCCGTGTGCATGTTTCCATTTGTTAATATGTTGTGTTATTGATTTAATCATTATTTTACAATTGTATTTATTGACATATCAGAAGCAACTAATATATGACTCCAACAGAAGGAAAACCAAGATATAAAACAAGAAACACTGTTAATTTTAAGTAACATAAAATTGATAATTTTAAAAACTGATTTCGAATATTTGTCTTTTTGTATATGGTTTTTTTATTGTAGTCTAAATTAGGGGCTGTGGCCCCTACAGGCCAGTTTATTTTTATATATGTGTCCGTTAGCACAATAACTCTAGCAAAAATGATCCGATTTTGATGAAATTTGGTATAAACTTGTAAACTTACATTTATTCTAACAAGTTCGCGAACCAGCATGATCGGACTATGGGAACTGGGGTTTACGGGGGGTTTTAAGGGATAAAAATAGGTTTTTTTTTTCATTTTTGACCCAAAAAACATAAAATTTAGCAATTTTTTTCCAAACCATTTTGTAGAGCTTAAAAAAACAATAATTTAGTATATTGAAGCGTTATTATGCGCCTAATGGTTACGGAGAAAATTAAAAAAAAATGTAAATTAAAAATTTTCATGTTATTCTTATGGAGAACAAGCAAACTGTTGTAGTTTGCTTGTTTATGAACATATTTTGATCAAATTTGGAAAATGTTTTTATTTCTTACTAACTATTAACATTTTACAAAAAAAAAAACAGTTTTACCCTCCCTGATGCAGAAACCTAAGTACTTGTTAAACTAATTCTTTTTAAATAGGAAATACATGTTATATTTACAAGAGACATTTTAGTATAAATCCAGTCAGGCAAATGGGAATTCGCTTAGTCTGCAGGTTTGCTGCGGCGGGGGTATTTAATGAGATATTTTAGTGAAAATCGATTCAGTGAGACACATGGAAATTTGCTTACTCTGCTGGATCTGGGGTATTTCTAAGAACTATTGTCTTGTAATTTTCTCCATAAAGGCTTTTTGAATCTTTAGCAGGAAGTGAATTCATAGAAAACGAACAGAACTTTGTAAATACAAATTTATTAGCATATAATAAAAAAACTTTAAAAGTCCAATGTGTAAATATTGACTTATTTTAATGACAACTTATAAAAAAATAAAATACACAAATTATTCATGGGATTAAAAAATATTTTGAAAATGCTCGGTTTAGCAGGGCTTTAACTTGATAATCATTAATTACCTACCAAAAAATATTGTAATTTCAACATCATATGATGAGGGAGAGGGATTGTCCCTGAACTGGTTATAGCATAGACAAAAAGAAATAAATAAAGACTGTCAGCTGTGCTGTGTGTCACTCATTATTAAGATAAAATATTGTTTTTAATAAAAAAATACTTTATTCATAAACATTAGTAAAATTAAGATTACTTAAGAGAACAGCTGATGTAGGGAATGTTACATCACAATCCATGAGTTGACAGATGAGTGTTCGGTTGGGTTTTCCTAGCAAAAGTCTTCTCACAGACGACACACTTGTGATTCTTGATGATTCCCTCCAAAAAAGGGGGGATTTAAAAATTGTAATGCTAAATAATTAGTTTGAATTCTTCCCCTTTAATTACG